GATGTATGGATACATGTAGTGGTTATTTCTCATCATGTTATATTGTAAATCTTGTGACTAACTTCAATGCAGGAGGACTCTCTTCATGAGGTAACCTTGGATCTAAGGTAAACTTTACTGTCGTTTCAACTTTTGGTTAGTTGTCACAACCTAATTAAATTAGATGCTTTATTCAGATCTAGTAATATCTTCATGTAGATGCTAGTACATTCTTCTGCTTATAACGCACTTTTCTTCTTATTGAAAATGGGTGAATGATAGTTCTTTTTAGTTTTGTGTGTTTTTCTGCTCAGTGTGAACTCTCCCTGGGTTGCATGTATGGATGTTAAAATCTTTTCCCACAGAAGTCACAGATTTGCCCTTAAACCCACACTTGTCACCTTCTGATGAAAGCCAGATAAAAATATTTTAGTTTCAAATTCTTACCATTTGTTAAAAGGTTGTTCAGATTTAAAGTTAGGAGGTTTAAGGGGATTTAAAGTTAGGGGGTTTAAGTGTAGTCTATAAAGTGCTATTTTGTAATATTAATACAAGTTTTGACATCTACCCTTCGGTGTAAAGGGGGAGTGAAATGTGAGCTGACAAGTGGGCAATGAGGAGGGATTGCAAGTCAGAGGTACTGAGGTCAGTCATGCATAAGAGAAGTCGAGAGTGAGACATTGCAGCTGGTGAGGATGGAAGAAAGCAGGTGGTGACAGAGTGAAACTGCAAGGAACTGATCAAAGGACAATGACTTGGACATTATAATTTTATACATTCATACTGTACACAATTAGTCTCCTCGATGTACAGTGTGAGTCTCTAGATAGCAGTTATGTAGTACTTTGTCATTTATACTGTATATTCACTACTTAATTGTCACTGAGTATTTTCATATTCTCAGCTCATCTCTTAGCAGAAGATTTTTGGCTAGAGGTTTTATACAAGTGCACCACTCACAAGGGTGTGTACAGGGTAAAAACTATTATCTGGACCAGGTAAATGGGCTAGGTTCGTCTACTGGAGCAGTTAGGGCCTCTCCTTGTCGGCCCCGTTTGTGTCTCTGTCTCCGGTTCGCTCTCCTGATTTCAGCCTGTTAAAAATACATTTAAAGTTGCCGGAATGTATTTGCAGATTTAAAACAGAACAGACATTTACACACAGTAACAAAATTTAAAAAATAAAAATTCTATAAAATGTATAAACCCAAAATAATTCAGCAAAAGGCTGAACAAAACTGTGCACCACAGTTTAAATTGTCCTTTTGTTGTTTCTTAGTCCTTAGATCAGTCCAGAGTAAAAAACAAACAAAAAAAAAGAAAATTAAGAAAAAGCCGGCATTCGAGAGTGGAACGTGCAAACACGTCTGCTTCGGTGGGTGCCATGTTGCCTAGTCAGCTGAAACACTGAAGATGCACCTGTTCCCTCATGAGCCTGCTCTGCTTCTCTTGCCTGATGCTGCTCCCTATGTACAAAATAATGTATTTCCATGTGTACCACTCACGAGGGTGTGTACAGGGTAAAAACTAATATTTGGACCAGTTAAATGGGCATAAATAAAACATACATAAATACTTAAAATAAAACTCTAGGTAGCTTAAAACTTAATAAAAAAGACCATTCTTTTCTTAATTGGTGCTCATTAAGATGGCGCCATCACCGTAATGGTGGTGGAAAACATGTTAGGACATTGACTTTTGCAAGTACCTCAATTAGCCTCAAAATGCACCATAATATTCTCAATTTTTACATAGAACGCAAATTCACTACCCTTAGCTTTCTATTTCCATGAAAAGAATAACATATTGCAATAATATTACTTGTATGAGAAATAAAATACATTTTCGTCACTCACCAAGTCCTGTTCAGCAATGTAAAAAAAACCCCTCTGTAACAGCACAGGTTGGAAAACCAAAAATACTTATTTTTCAGGATATGAAAAATAGCATTTAGACAGCTTCTATAACAGCTAAAGACACACGCTGCCTCTGTATCTCCCTCTTCTTGAACCAGAGAGGTCACAGCGATAAGGTTGGCTGTTACTAGTCACATGGCTCTCGGCAGCAGCGTGCCTTTTCAAAATAAAAGTCTAGATGACATCATCTATTTCAAAACATAAATTACAATAGAACCCAATGAATTTACACTTTTTAACATGTTTTTTAACCCAAATAAAATATAACACCATGAAATAATAAATAACATTGTAGTAGTTTTTTAATGCACATTTATCCACTGACCTTCTCGTTTGTATTCAAAGCCACTTTTACTAACAGGCCTTTATTCAACCAGGGCTCTTTTAACCCAGGTTAAACATGGGATTTCTAGCCTATCCATAATGATGAGTAATTTTGGTGACACTACGGTCTAATAGTTGTTAAGTATTTTTAGTCAGATAGATATTGGTTCACCATAGTTAATTACTGCTTATTTACTGCTGATTTAACCATGCTCATGTCTTGAAGGCTAAAAGGAGTATAGGTTTGTGTTATCCCTCCATGAGGTGAGGTGGACTGAAGCAATGGCAGCTGGTGTGAGGGAATGTCAAAACAATCATGGATGTTCCCTCGCCCTCTCTGCGTACATTGTGATGAGAAATCATGCACTGTGTCATCCCAGCTGGAATCACTTCCATGAGACATTGCTGGCACTGAAACATCACAAAAATGGCCCTCTTCCTCATCTGTGAAAGAGGCAGGAGCACATGAACTGACAACTAGACTTGTGGACTGGTCTAAATAGCCAGATTTTAACTCATTTAGATAAGTCTGTTCTGTAAGTGCCCGGTTAGCTCAGTCGGTAGAGCATGAGACTCTTAATCTCAGGGTTGTGGGTTCGACCCCCACATTGGGCGCGACGCTTTGCAGATAGAGTGTTATTGCTGGGGGTGTCAGAAAGTCTGACCTCCGGCCATATGTCTTGGACACTCGGGTGAACCGTTGCCATAAACGTACAATGTAAGTGCACTACGTGAAACAAGTCAGGGTGCAACAATTTGGCAATGACCGCTAAAGAAAAGAGCTCCCTATCTGTTGCATTGACCTTCAGCTAGTGAAGGGAATTCCGGCTCTTTTAAGAGAGCCGGTTGGCTCGGCTCACTAAAAAGAGCAAAATATAAACGAAAATGTGTAAAACAAAAAGAATACAGCTGCATCCAGGTAACAGTTTTAGCTAGTCTTTAGTGAAGATTGGAATTAAAAAAAAACATTTCGTTCGTGACCGACACATCACTACCTTCGGCCATTTTTCAAATTTACTGCCCGTCTATCGTGCATGCTCTAGGTACCCCTTTTGTACTATAACTTTAATGTCACAAGCGTTTGGAAGATAACAAATCATGTTTCTTAAATAACACTACGACTGACACTGTTTTCCTTAACGTTTATAATTTTTTATTCTGTCATTGCAGCTGTTCCCCCGCCGAGTTTTGTTTCCAGTAGCGCCCCCACACTCGGAATGATTATTTTTTTGGGATAACAACACCGGCACCCTCTGGGTCACATTATGTAAATATATTTTGTGCTGTTTGTTGTATTAAAAGCATCATTTGGGGTGCTTAAGTGGTCATGGAGAATTTTTAAATATTAAAAAACATCTAAGAAGTGGAGCAAGGGTTGCGCATGCCGTGGTCACGGGGTAGAGTGCTTGCTAGTGCGTCGTATCCGCGAATACTAACGGGAAACTATCTTACACAATATAAAAACTAACACTGTAGCACAAATCTGTAGCAATATGTACTCACTTGTTTATTGCATTTTCCCATCGACTATTGATCTTGGCATTTATCCAGTGTTTATCATGGTACCCGTTTAATTACTAATGTTTTTGTTTCCTGTTTCTGTCTTTTAGGCGGCAGCAGTGAGTCATGAATTCTAACCTGGTAGGGTCTTTTTGAGAATGATTTGACTTCAAATTGGAAAGTTGAATTTGTTTCTTGGCTTTGAGATTGTCTTTGTGGCTCTTGCTATAGCATTTTAGCATATTTGTTTGGTTACAGATGGTGGTGTTAGATCTGGTTTGCAATGGTGATGTGATAATATGCTACTGTAAAATGATGTAAATGTTTGCAGTCTGGAGCCCTGCTGTATGAAATGTTCAGCTGGATAATGGCCAGGAAGTTGTAATTTTTTTTTTTTTCAGAGCTCTCTCAACAACTTTGCAGTCATTATATTTGTGCAGGAAAATACTGTGGATGTCGTGCCATCGACATGGCTCAAACAAACTCATGAGGTATTTCCTTTTACAGCATGTTCATGCTCAGTAATTAATATTTTAAAGCTTTTTACATCTGTGTATGGGTGAGACAGTTCTATGTCTCTTTTTAGATTGTATTTGTTTATGCCCTACTGGAGTCAGCTGCAGCCATCTCTTTCTCTTTTCCTCTGCAGTGCTCCCTACTCTGTGTAGTGCACAGAGGTTATATATTTTTACTAAAGTTGACCACAGTGATTGTTAACCATTTGACATTACCATTTTGTTGGTGTTTTTTTGTTTTAATTTACCACAGGGTCTTTTTTGCTATTGGCCCAAAAAAAATGTGACAATGAGAGTGGAAAGACAAGACTTACCTGATGAGGAGCACTGCACAGGACATCCGGCTGTGGTCCTGACATATGCAGGTAGTGTAAAATACATTTTGATTGATTTATCATGGACTATACAACGCAACACTGGCACAATCCAGGCATAGTATCCAACAGGTGGGCACCTCTGCCCTAGTTTCCAACTATTCCTGCTATACCCACTTCTTATTACCTGGATCAGGTGTGTTCAGTCAATCAGAAGCTTGTATATTTTGTCCGGCTTATCTTATCTACTTAGTTTTTGTTTGATTTCCAGAAAACTACAAATATATGCTCTTTGTCAGAAGAAGGAAAAGAACTCCAGCGCAATATGTAGACTCTGGTCTGTAGAGGAGGAACAAATAACCAAATGAATTTATAGGCTCTAAGTGGTAAGGCAGATCTGAAACAATTTATTCCTATGTCCTATTCCTATATCTTTATAGATGCAGACGAAAATGAGGAAGCACATGTTGCAAAACCAGCATACGGACAGGATTTCAACATCAGTCCACCAACTTCCTAAGAAACCTCAGTGTGAGTAAATACTGTAGAATTTGTTCTTGTTTGAACATTAAAACCTTTTATGTTCTGCCTGCTGTGATTTCAGTTACTTACAGTATAACATCATAACTGCACTGAGAAATACAGCTGGTCATCTGTCAGATATACTATAAACCATTAACTTTATTTTTTTTATTTTATAGTCACCTATACAGTTTTTTGAATATACAAATGACGGTAGATCTGACATCATCCGTGTTGGAACACACCCCGTCAGCAGTGCCATTTAGGGCAAGAGCTGAAGATAACTCTGGTGAGTCTGTTTGATCACATTAATGATACTTGCCTCTCAGTAATTTTTGTTTTTCTTTTGTATGTACTACAGACTGGATATCATGATTATATTCACTAGGTACGCCTTCTCAAACCAACACAGTCAAGCACCCCACTGTGATGACCTATGTCCATAACAACAATGTAGTGGAAGCTGTAGTTTGTGGTGTTTTGGTATTTTATTACATTACACTGATGTATTCTCGACCTGTTGTTTTATTAACTTTCCAGGTAAGTTACTGAGGTTCTTGATTAAATGATTGATTAGTTTTAGTAGATTTTTCCTTTCTTTGCTGCAGCAGCAAAGATGTTTGTGTGGTGGGGCACCACTGAGAAATTTTAACAGCAGAAACAGTGCATAAACGGTTTGTTCCTTTATAAGCTTTGGAGTTCAATAGGGCACATCATGTGTAAAATTATTATATTTGCATTCTTTTTAAATTATTAAAAAATTTGCAATTCCCACCTCCAGAACTAGTGGAAACCAGATGTATGAGCAGCCCTCTTCACCCCTCTCCTCTTGCTTGTCCAGCCAGTCCGAGTAGGTGCTCATGATTGAGTTGTGGGCTTTTTTGTATAAATGTATAAACTGATTATTGTCCTTAGTGGTCTCAGTTAACAGTAAATAAAAATGTATCCTTCTTTGAAATAAAGGTTCACCATCACCAAGTGTGAATTTGGCAATGTCCCCAAGGACACCAACAGCAAGCATTGACCAGGGTAAGTCTGAATTTTAAAAGTCAAGCTAAGCATAGTGCAACTCTTAGTGTTTTATGTGTATTGTATTTAGAGATGTCCTGAATCAATCCCGAGGTGCTGCATTGCCACTAATATTAACGTATTTTAAATGATCTGTGACAGCTAAAATAAAGCAGATCTGACTGTTTCTTTACTGAATCGGACAGTGACAAAATTTTCAGCATTTCGGCATGCTATTAATGTGAAATTATATCTTCTATTACAGAGGATTCAAGCCTGACAAGATATGTCAGGTCAATCCTAATGAAACTGGACAAAATTGAGCAGCATCTTGAGGTCATTAATTTTGCAATAAGCCATGGCATTACATCTCAGGACCCTGAGATCTTGGGGGACTTTGGAACACTACTGATACAACTGGAAGAAGCTTCAGCGAAGCTGAGGGACCAGAACTACAGAAATAAAATGGTATGTAAATAAAGGTTTCATAATCAAAAATCTCAAAGCTGTATTGCCAGGTTTTCACATACAAAGGTTTTTTTAAATTAATGCAGTGGTGATGGAAGTCCGTCTGTTTCCAAAATATTATTTTAATGTTTTTCCATTCCATATTTTGACATTAACATCTAATGGGCCAAAAAAAATGTGAATTTGCATTAGGTTACAGTAAACTTATTTTATATCTATTAGGTGAACTACCTGAGCCTTTTGGGTGGATGAAGTACTGGGGACTTGGTCCGTAGAATAATGCGCAAAATTGGCACCAATGCCCTTTGGGCAGGCTATAGCCTGAAAGGCTGAAAAAGGAAGAAAAGGTTTGAAGACCTGCTTTTATATGAAGTCATAAAGGGTAAGTGCACAAGTGAAAATGTTATTTTTATGTTATTTAAGTTATTACATAGCCTCAAATATTATTTTTTTAAAAAGCATCACAACACATCACATAACATGGTTATGGTTGCAAGTGAGAGCAGACGTCTTTACTGCTGCTCTTGTCTGTTCTACACTTCAAGTCTTTGAACATACTTTACAACTACTAAAATGCCTCAAAGATGGAAAAAAGCTAATAAATCAGAAGCGACTGAGGATATGGAGGCAGAAGAAATGTATCACAGAGCGGTGCAAGTAATGGACATCGTGGATCATCAGAAACAGATGTACATCGCGCTGATGAACCAACAGCAGGAAAGCTTCAAAGGCTTCGTGCAACTAATTATGGAGACAAACAACAAGAGATTCGACGACATGACCAGAGAAATACAGGAAATAAAAACGAGTTTGCAGTTTACCCAGCGAGAGGTGGATGTGATTAAAGCTGCCATGGGTGAACAGAAAACACAAACCAAGGAAACGAGGGATGACGTCTACAAAAC